TAAAATGTGCTGACATCACAAAGATTTCTATTTGTTAGCTATGAAAATCTTTAGGAAACAGAGAGGTTTGTTAATTCCATATGAACAAACTGAGTACCATTTCAGTAGCCCAAAATAATTAAACATAATATTTCCTTTTCTTGTAGTATCATACAGAAATATTTCTTCTGTTTGAATGCTCCTCTTGGCTAATTAGAAGGAACTGTCCTGAATTTCTAAATTACTCACACTAGTTGGCATCTTAAGTTCCAAATATTTAGAATCTAACTTGTAGTTTTCTCCACTAACTGTTTCTTCCCCCTGATCTTCCTATTCCCGTTGGTTGTTAGAAGTACTATTCTTTTAAATTTGAAAACATCAGATTTTTTCCTTGATTCCTGTATCTACTTTAACTCTAGATTCAAGTCCTTAGGATTTTCCTTGATTCCTTTCTTCAAGTTCAACCTTCACATCCAATCTACCACAAAATCTACAATTTCTCATTTTATTTCTGTTTTCACTATTAACACTTTAGCCCTTATTTTTATTGTGATAAAGTATACCTAGCATAAAATTTATCATTTTAGTCATTAAAAATGTGTGACTTTGTGGCATTAAGTACATTCACAGTGATGTACAACTATCACCAAAATACTTTTTATCTCAAACAGAAACCTTATTCCTATTAAGCAGTTATTCACTATTAAACCTTCTTTGGAGTCCCTGCCAATCACTGATCTGTTTTCTATTTTTAAGGATTTGCCTATTCTAGATATTCCATGTAAAATGATATCATACTTTAGATGGTCTTTTGTGTCTGGGTTCTTTTACTTAGCATAATGTTTTCAAGGCTTATCTATATTGTAACATTTGTTAGTACTTCTTTCTTTTTATGGTTGAATAATATTCTGTTGTGTGTATGCATCACATTTTGTTTATCCATTCATCTGTTGATGGCTATCTAGGCTATTTCTGGCTTTTAGTGTTGCTATGAACATTTGTCTACAAGTTTTCGTTTGAACAGTTGTTAGAATTCTTTTGAGTATACATCTAAAAGTAGAATTAATGGGTCATACAGTGATTCCATTTAATTTACTGTAGACCTAGTCCTTATTACTTTTCACACAAATGTTTCTCAGAGTTTGAGGCAGTACCAGATGGTTCATTGATAATGTAATTTAATATCAATGAATTAACTTTTCTTAACTTCAGTTCCTATGATTAAATCCAGGAGTCTCAATTTGGTATTACTATGGCTTTCAGATACTTCACCAACTGTGTTCTTCTCCATTTTAGCAAATACAGAACAGGGTTGAGGCTCAGAACCTTTGGCATACAGTTTTATCTAGTTGGAATTTAATTTTTTCCTTGTATTTCATTTTATCATTACATTTTATTTGTATAGCATGTAATATTGATTTCACATACAGTAGTGTAAGTTTGCTTTTCATGTAAATGTAAGTGAAATAGAGTGATACACACCATAAAATATTAAAAATATTAATGGGGACTGAATAGAGATATAGTAAAAAATTGTACAAATGATATGAGAACGACTTGAAGTTTGAAAATAAAGACCTGAGCTATTGCAACATAATCCTAATTTTCCACTCTCTTAGTCTTTCACACTACAGTCAACCTCCTAGAATAATTTAGAATAACTTCCATAGGGTTACTTTCTTATTGATGAATGTTTAATGAATTCTTATTTTGTACAGAGTAAAACTGAAGGTTGTTTAGCTAGACATTTGATGCCCTTTATCCTTCACTCCAACCAAATGAATCTAATTATTATCCTGAAGATCACCTTATACTTTTTCTTTACCACTGTATGTCTGTTCATGCCATTCCTGGGCTCTAAATTCCTGTCCCCTTACTTTCTCATGGTATTCAGTAGGGTTTGATACGTGCGAGGCACTGTACTATGGGTTAAGACCAGTGTCTTTTGTACTGAGCTTATATTTATGCAAGGGCAGGTACTACACACAGGAATAATTCTTTAGTCACATTTGCAAAGGTAGTGTAATGAAAAAGTAGAGAATATCATGAAAACAAATAGGATACCTAATCTATTTGAGGTTGAAAGGATACTTTCTTAGGCTTCTTGGAGAAAATGCCATTAAGGCTGGGACCTAATGATGAAGCATTAACTTAGTGAAGAAATGGGTAGAGAGAATAGTCTGTGCCAAGGTACTGAGGTAGAACAAACCTTGGCCCAAGTATGCTATTTCTTTCATGTATTTGTTTTTCAGTGAAGAAATATGTTACTTTCTCAATAATAATATACTGGTCTGTAATACATAATCTGCTTTTTAAAAATACTGAATTCACATGCAGCCTTGACTCGGTGAAATTTTGTTTTTGAAGATGCTTTTCAAAACTCACTGTGGGGCCAGGGATTTAGTTCAATGGTTTCGCTGCCTGCTGCACAAACACAAGGACCCGAGTTTGATCCCTGGTACCAAAAAAATCCCCAAAACAACAACAACAAAAAAACCCCCCTCACTGTGAATAGACATAGATTCAAGTCTTAAAACTATCCAGGGAAGTTATTTTAAGAATTTATATAATATGGGCTTATTGCATTAATATATAGAGATATATCTGATTATAATTCTGTAACACATATTTTCATTTTTCAAATGTAGAAATGACTAGTAGATGTCTAACCTTTTGGCTTGTCTGGGCTACAGTGAGTGGACAAGAATTGTCTTGAGCCTCATATAAAATACGTAATATGGTTAATGAATATACATCAAAACTTCCCTTTTTACATTTGTTATCATAATATTTAAAAAGGATGAGTGGCTGTGGACTGCAGGTTCAACATACCTTAAAGAGTGCTGTATCTATATGAAGGTTTTTTATTACTTACATCCAGAGACACCAACTCTTGATAGCTTAATGAGAAAAGGAATTTATTTGGTACAATAGTTGAAGAATCTACAGGAAGATTAGAGAAACAGGATTGGAAATGGACAAGGACCTAAGGAAGCTGGGTGTCAGAAAGTAGTAGCCAAAAGTCATGCTACCAAACAGGTGTTAGGAAGACAGCACTGTAAGGTGGTGGTGGTAGTGGTGGTGGCGGCAGCAGTGGCTGCAGCTGCGCCTGCTGATGTTGCTGTTGCTGCTACTGCTACTTTAAATAATTTTCTTGCTGATAGCATCTTTGTGGTGCTAGGTAGAGTTCAAAGTCTAGGGTAGTGTTACAGCTTTTGTCTAGATGTCCCCCCAAAGCCTCATATGGTCATAGATGGGGCTTTTCAGAGGTGGCTGAATCTAGGGCATGTGATTCTAGGATTAAGTGTATGATGCTGGGAAAAGGGTGTATAATTACTAAATTAGTCTACTGATTGGCTTGGCATAGTTCTGGATATAGATAATGGGAAGGCCCACTGTTAGTGTGAGTGCTACCCATGCTAAGAGGATGTAGCCTGGATAGAATATAAGGGACAGAAAGAGGGCTGCTGTCATCACTTGCTGCTTCACTACTTCCCTGCTTGCTGCTTTCTGCTGTGCTGTCCTCTGCCCCTCAGTGAACTATTTCTCCTCTGTGATGTCCTTCTGCCATGCCACCGTGCCTTGAACTGAAACCTCTACAAACTCTGAGCTACAATAAACCTTTCCTCCTTTAACTTTTTTGTCAGGTATTTTGTCTTAGCAAGGACAGAAGTAACTAAGACAGGTAGAATCAGCTTGGTTTAGTCCTTGTTCTGGCTGCTGGGATCTCCTCCTTTTGGCCATGGTTCACACTGTAAGGAATTTGCTCCAAATAAGAAAGTTATTTGGAATAGAAGACTCTTCCCTACCAAGTGAAAGGAATTAGCTGTCCTTCATAACTACTTGCTAAAATATATTTCTAAACAATTCTGCATGATGACAGGTAGCTGTGAGCTTCTGCACTATAAGGTAAGATTGTTAAAGATATATCAGATGTTCTAGAAAACATATGATTGTTTCTGTTTTTAAGAAGAATTGTGGCAGCTTACTAGGGAAAGGTGGGTTTTTTTCAAAAGTTTTATATATTTTAAAATTTTATAGTATAAGCATAACTAAAAAGCAAAATAAAAGATTATAGGAAACACGGAGGTAGACCTTTTGCAGATGGGAAGACGTAGAGATGGATGGAGAATAGTGTGAGGAGAGGGAAGGGGACAGTAAAAAAGATTAAGATGTGGGGCTAGGGATTTGGCTCACTGGTACCGTGGCTGCCTTTCATGCGGAAGGTCCTGAGTTTGATCCCCGTTACCAAAAAAAAGAAAAGAGATTAAGATGTGACCTGTATATGTACCAGCTCTCCATGGTGAGTGTATTCATTATGTATTGCAGACATACTAATTAAAAAATTAAAGAAATTTATAGATTATGTATTTTGGAAAAAATAACTCAGAAAGCAAAGATCACCAGATAGGCATTTATTTTTCAACATTTTCTATTTAAGATATATATAAGATATTATCATTTATAAGAATAGATAAAGCCCAAATGTACAGTAAACACATATATCCTAATTGCTTTAAAATGTCTTAAGGGAAAAAAGGTTGAAAAAATCAAAAGAGCAGTGCTAATTCAAATTATAAAATTATTTGTGCTCTTAGCAATTTCTGATAGCTTCTAGTTTTTCACAGTATATTTCATGAATTAGTTTTTATAAGAAAATGATACACAAGAACTTTTTTGTAGGTTACTTACATGCTACATTGAATGTGGAAAATTGTATTTTCATGAAAAATTAGTTGAGGAATGTTTTATTACACATATGCATGCTTTTGATTCCTAAGAGCTTGGTTCCATTAATAATATTAATATCAAAACAACAAATAAAAGGAAAAACAATAATGTTAGTATCTCTTTTGTAACTATAGGTAATATGGAATATAGTTCAAATACAGACAGATTACTTTTAGAGACAAATATTTTCATAGTTACAAGTGTTAAATTTCCTAGAAGGTTCTTCAACCTAGAAATCACAAATGTATATTATAAGAGAAAATGTATATTACAAGAGAAAAGTCATTTTCCTATTGCAGAATTCTGATCATTTCAGTAATTCCAGTTAAACTTGTTCTAGATTTTCAAATTATCGTTTCCAGGACTTCGTATGTTTCAGTGTTTTAAAGAATTCTTTCTTTCAACTTGCTGTAATGAGAAAATGAGAATTTTATTTATTGGACAATTATTCTTTTTTCTTCAGTAATTGAGAGTTGTATATAAAAACATATAGTAGGAAAGGGATGCTATCATAACCAAGGACCCTTTATCCAAATACATCACAGGATCATAGCAGAATCTTTCTGCAGTCCTCTATTTTCTTTTTTCAAAAGATGTTTTGGATAAAACAAATTATAGCATAGAGGTAATTGGGTAACCTACCTTGATAATAAGGCCTGCTTGCTTTGATGTGGGATTCAGGCATCGTTTTCCTTTATGTGCTTTCAGGGTAATACTGTTAAGATAAAAATGAATCTTAAGCTTTGAATGGGAGTACATGCACACAACAAACAAGCCTCCACAATTGTCATATTCAGTGAGCCTACTACTTACATCAGTTCGATTTTGTCACAGCTATTACTTGGGTATATTATGGAAGCTTTCTCTATATCTGCCACTTTTACAGCTTTCAGTCCAGGACCAATGCATAGACATCGTCCCCTTTTGAACATAGGGAAGCCTAGAGCAACACATCATAACATTGGTTAGTAATACATCTGGTGGGAACACATGACTCTACTTTATTATCCTGGTGACAAATGCGAGATGAGTTTTCATTAAGGATAAAGATAGTAATTTGTCAAATAGTACTTGATACCAGTGTTATTGGTAAGGGAGTTAAATTAGATGTTGATGATTTTCTCCTAAAATTCATGAACCATTGACTACAAAATAACAGGAAACATGAAGGGCATTTATTAGATGTGAAGCTGTTTGTCTCTTGCTTTTCTTTTTAAATCTCTCTTATGTTTAATAATTTTTCCAGGAAATTTATATAATCCCCTAAAAGGTCTTCTTAACAGATATTTAAAGCTGTTGGTAAATCTTTGCTAGATTTTGAGTCCAAATAAAATCTCTTTGAAGTTTATCATCTCTGGTTTTAGTAATTATCTCTAGTATCTAATGTCTTCCTACATTTTCTGCCAAAGCTGTAACTTCTAATGTGTGAAGTTAAGTGAAAATTTTCCATATATTTTAGGATGAAAGTGGGAGAAAAGACATTTGAAATGCTACAGAAGGAATTTATAGGCTGAAAAGTAAAAAGTATAACATACCTTGAACAATTGTAGCAGAGAATATCACAGCCAAGACTATAGCCATGCCTTTCACATTCATGTTTCTTTATTGCTGCTGCTGGTCCTGCTTCAGGGTTGATACTCTTCTTGGAGATAGTAGAAATGCTGAACCTGAAAGGAAATTCTTTGTTGGTATGTAAAGAGCATTTTATATACCAACAACCAGCAATAGGAATTTCCCTCCTTGAGTCATGTTCCTTTCTTTGCTTCAAGGACTTTCAATTTTGTTCTTATATCACTGTCATTATCCCTTCCCATTTGTTGTAGTATTGAAAGTGATACGAATGTGAAAGCACTTGGTAAACACTAAAGTGGTATAAAAATGTAGAATAGGGTATATCCACATGGGAACCAACTTTGTTAAGGTAACTTTTCTGAGAAGTACATTTAATTGTTAGGCTACTCTGGGCAGTGGAATTCGATTGCAATGTGTTGAGACTGTCTTCCTATTTTCATTCTTCCATCCTTCACATGAATGTATAAAAGAACATTCTAAAATACTTTTTTAAATTCATTTGACTTTTAAATATAAATTCTTATCTTGGGTAAGGCATATATTATTTGATACCAGACAAGTCTTTATTTAGCTTTATATTTTTTGCCTATAATTTCATGTATAAAGAAGCCTCCCTATACTTCTGTACTGATAGCCATTTCTTTTTGCATTTTAAACCTTTTATTTTTTATTAGCGCCACTATTTAACACATAAAATTCTATGAGTTGTATTATGGATTGCAAAAATAATTATGTGATGTTTTGGCCTCTTGGGTTTTACTTTTTTTTTGGTACCAGGGATCAGACTCGGGTCCTTGCGCTTGCGAGGCAGCCGGCAGAACTACTGAGCTACATCCCTGGCCTTGGGTTTTACGTTTATGTAACCCCTGTTTTCTTTTTGTCTTTACCTTTTCTTTTTAAAGTTTGTTTTAAAACTTTTTATTGGTATATGTTTCCAATATATAATTATTACATTCCTTTTGGGGAATTGGTAGATATTTATTATCCTAATCATTTTTTATACCTTCTTCCTCCTCTCTTCCTCCCTCCCTCTGATCCACTTCTCCATCTCAGAAAAGCCTACCTCCATGTTTCCTACCATCTCTCCTTTATTTTACCCTTTATTTATGTTTTAGGCTTCTCATTTGAGAAAAACCATATGATGTTTAACTTTCTGTGTCTGACTTATTTCACTTAATATTTTGGTCTCAAGATTTATCCATTTTCCTACAAATGACTCAAATTCATTCTTCTTTATGACCGAATAATACTCCATCATGTATACATACCAAGTTTTCTTTACCGATTCTTCTGTTGATAGCCATCTAGGCTGTTTCTGTAGGTTAGCTGTGTTTTACTTCTGTAAACATGATTATGCATGTATTACATGTATTACTGTATAGTATGATGTCTTTAACTCTTCTAGGAAGGTACTCAGGTAGAAGTAGGTCAAATGGAATTGCTGTTTTCAGGGTTTTTTGAGGTACCTCCATACTGACTTTCATAGTGGTTGTAATAGTTTAGATTCCTACCAACAGTGTAAAGGGGTTCCTTTTCCCCCACATCCTCATTAGAGTTTGATTTTTTGCGTTCATGATGATAGTCATTCTGATTTGAATAAGATGGAATTTCAGCTGTTAGATTTGCATCTCACTAATAGCCAAAGATACTGAACATTTTTTCTTATATTTGTTGGCCATTTGTACTTCTTTTGAGAAGTATGTATTCATTTCATTTGTTTACTTTTCGATTTTATCATTTGTTTTTGGGGTCTAATATTTTTGAGTTCTATATATATTCTGGATATTATCCCTCTATTTTAAGAGTAGCTGGCAAAGAAATTTTCCCATTCTATAGGTTCTCTCTTCACTCTTTTGTTTCCTTTGCTGTGCAGAAGCTTTTTAATTTAATAAAATTAAATATTGGTATTAGTTCTTGTACTATTGGAGTTCTATTCAGGAAGTTCTTGCCTATGCCTATGTCTTCATATGTTTTCATTATATTACCTCTCAGCAGTTTCAATATTTCTGTTTTTGTACCTAGGTCTTTGTCCATTTTGATTTGATTTTAGTATAGAGTGAGAGGTATGGATCTAGAAAAAAAAAAATCCTAAAATGTATAGGGAAGCAGAAGAGATCCAGAATAGCCAAAGCAATTCTGGGCAAAAAGAGCAAAGTGAGAGTGAAGCTCAGCCGGTCCCAGCACCCAGAAGGAAGCTCCCCCAACGCCATCCCAAGCTTCTAGGGGAAAGAAGCTGAGCCGGTCCCAGCTCCCAGAAGGAAGCTCCCCCGCTGCCATCCCAAGCTCCTAGGGCAGAGAAGGTGAGCCACGTGGGTGCCAGAAGCAACACCCCCGCCCTGGGGAAATGAGAAGACACATAAACAAGCCTCAAAAACAGACTTCCAGATCACCTCCAGCAACCCCAAAGGGAAATGAGATAGAACATTTTGATACTCAACCACCTGGACTCTCTGAACTGGCAACAAAAGAGGATCTGGGAAAAATGAAATCAGAAATAATT